CGGGAGCCGGTCTGTACGTGGGATCCGAACCCTTGGACGGGAGCGCCGCCGCGCTTCCCAAGCTGCGCACTATCCAGTGCGCCACCGGGCCGGCCCAGAAGATGCATTTTTGAGTTATTCAAATCAAGATGTTTAGAGCTGAGGCACTGGATGAAAGTTCCTACAAAGGATGTTAGTGGAGAAGGGGAGCATCCAAGAACTCATTCTTGGGGCACCCCAGACACTCAAATTGGGGAAAATGAGGTCAATCTAGCAGAGAAGGGTAAGGTGGGTCAGCTAATGAGGTGGGTGGTAACCCTGGAAGCTAAGTGAAACAAGGGAGTATAAGAAGTGGTGGTCAGCTTTGCATGCAAGTTAAGATGAGGGTGGAATTGAGTGCTGGACTTGGCAACAGTAGGGGTCAGCCAGGAGCCTGACAACATGGGGATAAAAAAGCCCAATGGGAATGGGCTCAGGGGAGGTCGAGAGTAGGAGTACAGATGACCGGTGTGGACAGTTCTTCTGAAGCTTTGCTGTTACAAGGGGAGGTGCAAGATGGGGTAATGGCTTGAGGCAGTTATGGGGTGAGGTAGCAGGTGTTCCAGCAGATTGTACATGGATGGAAGAGAGGATGAAGCAGAAAGATGAGTCAGTTTAGGAGTGAAGTTTGAGTGCGTGAGAGGAGGTGGGATGCAGTGTATGAGGGGAGAGGCTGGCCTTTCGGGAAAAGCCCCCCCCACCTGTACCTTACGTATAGCAGGTGAGAACACTCCTCCATTATCTGCTTCATTTTGACAAAAAGTGTAAAATTCTGTGTTGTGGAAGGAGGCCTTTTCATCAGGGAGATATAACTACCTAATAGAACAGCACTTTGAAGCAGGGGACTTTGTTTAAATTAAAGATTTTTTTTTTCCTTTTCAGGCATCATGGAGAGATCTAAAGAAAACTGCATTTCAGGGCCTGTTAAGGTAAACTGAATAATCTGTAACCTCCATCACACTTAAAAACTCACTTGGAGACTGGTCTCATATCTGGAATTCTTTCCACCTTTACTTTGGATTCTAACTTTAGATTTCTTACCACAGTCCTGGCTATGAATTAGTCACTTTTCTCGGTAATCAGTAACATTTTGTTGATTCTCTCACTGTAACTTTTTCATTCTGCCCTGTCTTACAGTTAGCTGTTAAGGTATCTGTATTCCTGCACTGTATGTAGAATAATAGTAGTAATGTACCCAACAGAAACCCAAAACTTGCCTGTACTTTTTTGCTTGCCTGAAATTAATTTCTTTGGCCTAGTTTGTTCTGGTCATGATTCAGGGAGAGGAATTCATTCCTCACTGAGAGGAATGAATGTCAAGTTGCATTTTAGTGAATGTATCCTGGGAACCTAATCTGAGTCAGGCTCTGTGTCAGATGCAGGGAT